TGAATGACTCTGTTTAAAACTCCAGATGCAGTGTAGCTATCTCATTTTCATGCTGGTACATAGTCTGGAAGAAGAGACTAGTATTTAATGTAACAGTGACCACAGTTGACAAGCTGGCACAGTATGGACTCTGAAGCTGTAGAACTGTATCCCACAACTATTGTTCTGTTCAACCAGCCTGTAGGGTCTAGATTCCATCTGGCAACTGTTCTGGGAAGCTTATAAGCCAGACAAATAGTAATAGTCTTCCCCATCAGTGCCTAGTGCAGGCGTGACAGATCCATTGCATCTCTAAATAGTGCCTTTGACCTTTCCCCGATTTGTTTAACACTTTAAATAATAATTATAATTTTAAAAACATTAAAATCTCACATGATCCACAAATCTCCACAGTCTCCTACAACATCTCTAAAGGACCTTGGTGTGAGTGTGCCAGATTTTGCAGGTTTCCATCTACCTTGGAAAATTTCCTCTATGGGTGCTAGGCTTATTGTGCATGATCACTTCATCATGCCAAAAAAGGCTTAATGATTGAAGATTATTGCATCTGACTATCGAAGCTTCATTTTCATCATGTCTAATAGTCAATACATTGATTTAATACTTGTTCTTTAAGTCATCTGTGTCAGTATTCATTATAGCATTCTGTAGCAATAATTGCAGAAGTAAATGGAAAGAATGGAAAGTTATGGGAAAGAATAAGTAAGATTCCTCAGTATAACTTGGAAGACTAGCCATGTGTATATGGATTTGCCTGCCTGATAATGCCTACTATTCTTGAATATCTTTTCAAAGTCTTTGCAATAGTTCATTGGCTGGAAAGAGCCAGAAAAGTTCACTGTGATTGCTTTTGGTAGAAAAGACATTTGATTATTCTCTTCCTTGGAGCTAGCTTTTTAACAATCTTTTATAGCAATTTTATAGCAAAAGACCAGAACATCTCCTCACCAGCAGTCATCACCCAGATAAGCAGAGATTAACACCAAGATTATCACCAGGCATACAGTCAAGCAGTAAACAATACCCTAATCAAGGAACTACCAGAAAAAAAAAAAACCCACCTCACCAACACTGGCAGGTCATGCCACTGTATATAAACAGAAAGCAAACCTCATTCCATTCCAACACTGAAGATGTTACCTAGCCAGGTAATGAAATGTTTGCAAGAAAGCAACCAAGCTCAGAGAACCCCAGGGACTCCACAGTTCAACCCTGAGCTACACATATTCTCTTCTATTGGTATTATAAAGAGAATTACACCTATTTAAGGAGAACCCAACAGTGTGTGTTTGTGTGTGTATAAATACCGTCAATGAAAAATATTAAAAAGCTTACACAAGTTACTGATGCATCAGAACATGTAGCTTAGCAAACCATATTCAGTGAACTATTTCAAATAAGACGAGTGGTTTAGTAGTTTACTCTGTTAAGAATTAAATATCTTGCTCCCTTCCTATTTAACTTTTATATTCATGAAGTCACAAAGCATCTTCTCCCCCTAGCTTAGTGGACAGAAAATCTCAGTTATAATGTATGCTGATGACATGGCTCTCATTTCCTGTACCAAGATTGGCCTTCGAAGATCATTGACCAGATTAGCTGGTTATTGTGAAAGGGAAAAACTGAGTATAAATTATAATAAAACAAAAGTAGTGGTCTTTGGTAGAAACAATGCTAAACATAAATGGATAGTCATTGTGCACCAAATAGAGCAGTGCCCCCTTTTTAAATGCCTAGATATCGCCTTTCATAAGTGCCCTGTGTATGGAACACACATTTACTCACTGTTCTAACAACTGCCCAAAGCATAGTGGGGGTTATTCTGAAGTTGTTGTATTCTAAAGGAGGGCGGCTGGTATCCCCTGCACTTAAAATATTCCAATATAAGATGATGGCCCAGATGCTGAATGGGGTGGGGTAAAAAGGCTATTGCCCAATTGGATGTAGTCCAAAGCAACTTAATAAGGAAGATCTTGGGACTCTCCCAGGGCACTTCTACTGCTTATTTAAGGATGGAGATAGGGTTAACTTCCATTGCCATCAGAGTATGTCTTGCTTGCTGGGGCACTATAAGAAACTACTGTAGAAAGTCTTCAAGAACCCTCCTCTCCAAACGTTGTCTTTTCCATTACACATCTGGGAATCAATGGAGAAAAACTTTCATTGGCTGTCCTACAAATCTATTCCCTTTGGCGTAACTCAGCTCTTGGAACAGAGAAAATATTAGAGATAGGCTTTTTGAAAGGAATGCCAGTAAAGGTGCTGCTACAGTACAGATGCCCACATTTTCATCTTTATTTCATCACTGTATATAAGACCATAGGAGCCTGTCCAAGTATCTGGTTAAAATTTTGAGCACGCCACTGAGAAAGGTTTTTATATCCCTTTGCTTGCAGACTATGGCTTCAGCATATTTGGAAGGGAGATTTTGTAAGTGCCCTGTTCAACAACAACTCTGTCCCAGTTAAGTGGGGAACATCATTCACCGTGTCCTCTACTATTTCATTTACAAAGAGGTTAGGGCCAAATTATTGACTGTAGATGAATTCAAGGGCTCAGACCTTGAACGGTTGATTTATCTTCTTGGAGATTTGTTTCCAGCTTTTACTAGACAGGTTGTTTTGCCATCATTTAAACTCAGAAAGAAGTATTTAAGTTCTGCCTTGTAGCTTTGACTTATCTTGCTTTGACTTCCTTGAATCTAGCACTCTTTTTCTTATTTTATTTCATTTTTTTGTGGTTCTGTTTTATTGTATGTTATGTTATGTCACATTGCTATGGCCTATGGCTACAACAATTTTATTTATTTATTTGCTTGCTTACTCTCTTACTTACTACATGTCTGGGAACAATGCTTCAAAAGTTGAAGTGTAATTCAGTTAATAATTGCATACTATTTACACTTTAAGTGTGCTTAAGTTTCTCAGCATTTTAACACAGAGAAGTAACATGAATAAGCAAAACCTTACAGGCAGGGCCATCCGAGGGAGCACATGATTTGCAATATTGGTGCAGCATTTGCTTGTTTGTTTTATAATATCTGTATCTTTCCAAGTGCCGGTGTGATTTCTAGCGCCTTCCATAAAAATCAGTAAGAACAATTAAGACCAGAAAAATGCCGCTCCCTATGCCAGTGACCATTCTAGTTAAATGACCACTCTCTAACAATGCTATTAAATAACACTGGTGACACTAATTTTCTGAAATGGGTAGGTGCCTTCAAACAAGACAGACCACTTTCTCTTTTAGGAAGACAGTCCTGGCTCTCCTATGTAGACAGTGTGCAAATTAAAATGTAATGTCACTTATATGCATACACACGCATACACATGTGTCTTTTTAAAAGCTAACAATACAGTTCGGTTACGGGGAGATGTTTAATTGGATGTGCTACACCTGAGTGAACAGTCTTTTCCTACATTCCTTTTTAAGAATAGGAAAATGATTGAAATTATTGTCATTGAGCTGAAAAGATAATCAGATGCAGTCCATTAGTCATCTTGTCAGCAACTTCTACCACAGAAGCGTATCATCTTGTAGTGCAATCTGCCTGTTGTTAGATTTTGAAAAAAGCATTACCGAACAGTGTTGAAATTTTTTCCTCTCTTCCTCTCCACCAATGTTATTGTCTCCATTTGTGTTAGTTTTCTCCTGGCTTCCAAGTTTTATCAAATAACAAATTAAATGTCTTGGATCTAGTTTTTGTTTTGTTTTAGGATGTATGCTAGAAAGAACCATAAGAAAAAGTTGTGCAGCCGAAATATATATACAGTAGTTTTCTGCCTATCCCAGAACAATATCTTTTTGACTTAAAGTTTTCTGGAAGAAGTCTTTGATATCCTTTGTTCTTGTAAGCCAAGAGAATTTTGCTGGTTGTGCTTGCTGAGTGTAATGTGGATGGATATGCTATGACCCTTGGAGAGGGGAAAGTACAAAACCTGGAAAAATGTATGGTCACAACAATTTAAATGGGTCATGCTTGCTCCAAAATCTCTTTCTGCATCGTCCATCCATTCAGATTTGGGGAGGATAGGTTTTGTTTTAGTAGGACAATGTAGGAATTGGGTGATCTTTTTTAAGTTGCCTGCAGGAGCAACATTTTTTTCTCCAATGTAATGTAATGTAATGTAATGTAATGTATATTAATATTATCACAATAAGGACAGTGTAGGAGGGGAATGGGAAAAGTATACATAAACAGTGATGGAATCGCCCTTGGCACTGTAATCATAGAGCCTTCTTGACTTGAGGCAACTTGAGTAGACAATGTGCATTCTATAGTGTTATTGCCCCCAACCCCTACTGACCTGCAGATTATGTTGATTATGACAACAAAAGACTCCCTCTGAGCACATCGTTTCAGATTGAAAATCGATGCTTCAGCCCTAGGTGTTATCTCTCCAAGATGAACTGTAGGAATGGGACGCCCAAATTGAATCTTAGTAGTGTGGTTGAAAGGGTGGAATTGTTTAAATTATTAGTTGCCAATCAAATAGTCCATTTGTTAAAATTGTAAATTTTGTCAAAACCTTGTACTACATAGTTTTTTCAGGGCACTAAAACTATATTATTAAACTGAACAAATTTTAGTGTGGCCTGTGCTTGGAAATAGAAATCCTTAGAACATAGAAATCCTATGTTCTAAACTTTAATAGAATAAAGTCATCTTTCAGCTTTGAAATTAGCGGTAAATGTAGTGAGAAATTTGGTTCTCTTTTCTTTCCTATGTAGTTTTTTGAATACAACTTTGAGCACGTGGAGGTGAAAGTGATACATTTACTACTTAATTGAATATGGCCAGATGTATTTCTTGTAATTTCTTGTTCAAAATTAGTTGGACTAAAATTTCTGATTTTTTAAAATATCAAAACATTACTAGGACTTCAGGATTTAAATATTTTTTTACATTAAGAAGTGCACCGAAACAGAGAAGATAACATTCCAAGTTCTAAATTTGGAGCACATCTTGATTATTGCAAATCTTGTCTTCTTTCATTTAGGATGGCCAGTCAGACATTTTGTACACATTTTGGACAGCAGTAACTCAAACTCTGGCCTCACAATTTCAGAAAGCATCTGATAGTAAGTACTGAACTCAGTATGTATGATAACGACATTTTCTCCAGTTACTAGTTTTGTAAATCTTCCCACCACCGTCTTCTATTGACCTGGATAATACAGAGAGCAAGAATGGTTGTCTTCTCTCAGTACATAATCTAAGTTGAAATCTGAATACATTTAGTTTCATAATGCTAATATAGGCAAACTCTCCTTAAAAGAATTAGACTTATTCAACTCAAGTTTCATGTACTATTTTAAGATACTGCCCAAGCGAGGTAGGGTTTTGTTTAAATATTTGATTGAAACTTCTTCAAGTCAAAAAGATGACTGTTCTGCAAATTTCCTAGTATTTTGTTGCTGTATAAGTGGGTAAGTAGATAGTATACATGCAAGTTTTTCATAGTTTCAGTTATCCAGTCACTTGTTTTAAATCAGAACATAGTACTTTGTGGTTTAACAGTTGTATTATATTACAGAGTTGGAAAGGATCAGAACATTAGCTTTAGTGGCAATGGAATTTGAAAGGATTCCACATAGTTCTTGTTTAGGCTTGCAATGCATCATTTCTTTCCTAAGTATAGGTTATAAAGAAAAAGTGTGTGAATGCATCCAATTGCAGCTACAGGCACTTTAATCTGAAATATAATCACGTAAGTCTTCCTAGCCCCATTTTTATTCTTTCCAACACAACGGAATGTTGGAAAGATATTATATAAAGGGACTCTGCTTCTCTGTTGCTCTGTCTTTCCTTCAGCAGGATAACTCTCTGAAAACTGAACAGAATGGGACCAAATATGTTCTGGAGGAAGAAGCCAGGAAAAAAAGGTTTTAAAATAGGCCTCATCTGGCTTGAGGCTGCAAAGAAAAACATTCCAGAAAAAAAAACTCTCAGTGTATTCCTCTAGGAGAGGGAGTTGGGCAGTGGCCCAGAAAGTTGCTGATTGCACCATTCTAAGCCCTCCTCCCTTCTAGTCACATGATCCAGAGGAGAGTGTATGCAGCCTACCCTGGATGCCCATTGCACACATATACACAAACACACACAAATGCAACACAAGGGAAAAGCAGAAATACACATTACTTCCTTACACAGAAGAAAATATCTACAGCCGCTTCCGGTAAAATGGTATGAAAGAATTCCAAAAGCCACATTCTGCTCTGCCTACTTTTTCTTGTTTTCTACTCTCTCTTGAAGCTCTGTCTATGTATTTTTATTATTAAGAGAAATAATTTCAGCATTAAAATGGTGCTATAGATGGGGAAAGCTAGAGAGAGAAAAAATTAACTGCCAGTTTTACACTGCAACTTATTAGCAACCATGTTCCCCAAATGTGACTCTTATTAGAAATATATATAAAGACAAAAAGATTCATTAATATATCTGCTTCGGATGTGTCTCTCTAATATTTTCAAAGCTAGTTTATTGCTTTTATCTGCAACTTCCTGTATTTGTTGCAAGATAGTCCCATACAAGAATATTTTGTATGAGATGTATTACATTTTTATACTTTGTATGCTCTAAACTCTTTGTCATAGATTCATGCTGTGATTTCTAAAGTATTTGATCAAAAGTCCTTTCATAATCACTGATGATTTTCCTGTGGAATTTGCAAAATTAAAGCAAAAGGTATATTATGTGAAACTATAAAAGCAAACCTATAGAATTTAACACATTAGGTACGTCCATTCAAAATATGTATTTCTTGATATTATTGAGGAAGCAGCTAATGACTGAGGAAGTTACTCAGTGGTGAAATAAATATTATTGCAAATTTTTTTTCTGGGGCATTTCTGAATTGAATTGGATGAAAACAGATCTCTTGCATAACTTACTTCATCTGACAATAAGAATAACTAGAAGACAAGGTATTGTTTGTCTGAGCCTCCATTTGTTAATGCTCATTATTAAATAATTTTTCATAGCAAGCTTAGAATCTATTACAGAAAGAAGTAATTTTACACTGAAAATATAAAATAGATTGTGGATCAGGGAAAAAGTAAGGTATTAGGGCATCCAGACTATGGACCATATATTTTTATTAGGCTAGAACAGGTGCATAAAAGCGAATAATAAGGCACAGCAGGAATTCCCCTAGTGGCTTATTCACTTATGTCCATTGTGAAGGTAAGGTACAGAACTTCTTCCTGAGTATGTATAATCTTTCCGCTGAAGTCTCATCCAGATAGACCTTGTTATTGAAGCTGCTTTTTTTTTTATAAGTGCTGAATATCCATATGCTGTTGATTTTAAATAGCACAAAAGTTATAAGCGTTACAGAAACTGATAGGGCTTGCTTTAAGTAATATCCATATGGTTTTTGTCTTTCAGCTTCCATGTTTTTGAAACAAGCTTTTGAAGGAGAATACCCTAAATTACTGAGGCTATATAATGATTTCTGGAAGCGTCTTCAACAATACAGTGAAAATATTCAAAGAAATGTTATTACAAATGGAAGTGCAGAACATTTATCTGAACTTCCACAAATAGATGATGATGCACAGGACATATTCATGCAAAAGAAACAAGATTATGAGTATGAGCACTTATGTATGTAATTAGAGAACAGAAAATTTCAGACTTCAAATTCCCTGTAACAAATTAGGTCATTTTCTGTAGCACAGCATGATATTTATAAATATAAATTGGGCTGCCATTGACTCATTAGAATTTACTGATTTGAATAGAAGCAGATTGAACCTTAGTATGTGTTTTGAATTGGTTTGTGAGATATTTTTTACACAAAATTCTTGATCAGTGTATCTGGAGTTTTCATACTGTGGGCTTAGTAAACTGTCATAAAGCAACTTCTCTTAAAATTTAGATTTCTATCAGATTCAGTAAAAATTTAGGATAGCCAACCAGAGGACAATATAGGGATAAACAAATGAAAAGAAAACAGGAAAGAAGTATCCATTAGTCAACCATTTTTTTAAAGTTTACAGCTATATTCTATTTACTGGCACAGCTATATAGTTGTTTGAAGAGTTGAGGAAAAACTCATTTTATGTTAAAGAACAATAATTCTTCCAGGAAAGATACAGGTATGAAGATCCTTGTTGATGGGCCCATAACATAAATTGTTGGTAACAACTTCAAGGGTTTTTCATTTTTGCCCTAGAAGTTGGCCTCAAAACATGGATATTCTGTTTGGCGACAGATGAGTTTAGTGTATACAGAAATCTTTATTTATATCCAGCTTTGATCAATGTTTCTTGATGTAGAACACCAATACACTTACTGGGGGTTTTTTAGTTACTAATTTGAACAGTGTATACATTTAGAAAGAAGAATACATACCCAGCTGCACACATCTCTGTTGATCAGCACCTTTATAAGTAATAATACTCACTGCAGAAATATTTGCTTTTTAATCTGTGATCTTTAGATTAGGTGTATGCTTGTTTACAGTATCACTGGAAATTATTGTCTGCAAGAGATGAAGCAATGTGATTGGAGAAACCCTCAAGTTTAGTCAAGTCTCAGTTGGTTTGCTATATTAAGGTGCTGTTTGAAAAATGAAAATAAATAGTTTTATCTTAATCAATTGCTCCCACTTTCTAGCCCAGAAAAAGCTCTAAAAAATTCTTTGCAACCTTATGAAGCTGCCTATTTATCAAAATCATTATCTCGGCTCTTCGATCCTATCAACCTTGTATTTCCTCCTGGAGGCCGCAACCCTCCTTCAGCTGATGAGCTTGACAGCATTATCAAAACCATTGCAAGGTAACTGTTTGTAATAAATTTCAGTGCATAACATATGATGTAATTTTTCCCTTTTTAATCACAGTTTTGGAACTGAGAGTTCTTTCCTGTTAAGTTATTCATTTCTTAATCTTCTTATTGCTACTGTTATTTTACTTCTAGTGAGCTGAATGTGGCAGCTGTGGATGTAAACCTCAGCTTTGCAGTATCAAAAAACGTGGCAAAGACCATACAGTTATTTGGTGTGAAGTCTGAACAACTTGTAAGTAATTTTGTTTATTATCAAATAGTTGTCTTTTTCAAGACTAAAAATTGATGGGGTGGGATCAACATGACAAATAGCAATTTGATTTGAATTGAGTTTGAATAATTGAAAGTTACAAATGAACTGTAAATAAACAGATTGACTCATATGTATGTTGTTGGAATAGAGACTGCTTCGGGATTTTGCTGACCACTCCTGCAGGGAGTAGTTCTGTGATAATTGAGTCTTCACAGGTTGTTTTATAATGTCTTTAAAATTCTATGATTTTTTTTTTAAAAAAAACATAGGAATGTTAATTACCCTGATACCTGAAAAAAACAGGAATATTAATCATCCTGAAACCAATAGCAGGATCCAAGAGAAGTGAAACTATATTACTGTAATATTTTAGAACTGCAAACCAATTTCTGTTTACACTGGAAGCCATACGTGAGCCTGCCTTTCATCAAAATTGCACAATGACTAGGGTGGATAATCTCATGTAGCCCTTAATCTGATTATAAACCTCTCTGCAGCTGATAAGTTTAGATGTCTGGTAAGGGCATTTTGCACCTCACCTGGCAGTCCTCTGAGTGGAGAGGAATCAAGGGAGGGAGAAGGAGGAGTGGTGAGAAAGGAACTGGCATCATTGAGGGACAAAGACAAGATGGTTCTGTCCAGGGCTGGCTAAACCTGAGATAGCCATTCTGTTGTTGCAGTCACCCAAGGAGAGGCTACTTTCAGCACCACTGTGGCCCAACCTATCAGTTCTTTTTTCCCCAGCTAGGGAATTCTGGGAGTTGAAGTCCATACATCCTAAAGTTGCCAAGGTTGAGAAACCCTGGTCCACATGATTCAGTTTCTCACTGAATCATCCAGTTCACCCTATTTACTGCTTCCACAGCCATGTCCTTGTATGCACCTCAAAGAGTCTGTGGAGTTTGTGGGTGGGATGCTCTTCTTAGCTTTTTGAGAAGCCAGTTTGTTGGCAGATTGGACTCTGTATCTTGGTTTTGTCCCTGAAGTAAAGTCATTATTGCAGCTTGTTCTCTGACACCAGTGCTGGTTTTACTTAGCAAACAAGAGACCTTTTGCTTTGTATAGGACTGTCATTGTTGAAGTATGTGATGGCAGTCCTTTTCAAACCCTGAGAAGTTGGACATGGTCAGATGATAGCTTATCAGAAATACAAACACTTTCCTCCCCCCCGCCCATTGCTCCCAGTTGCATTCCACTCCTACCCACCACTCTGATGCCGGTTTGTTTGTTCCATGTTTTAAAGTCTTTATTCTAAAAACAACCTAACTGCCTTTTAATGAGAGAGGCTCAAGATGACATTCAGAACATAAACCAGAAAAAGTCCCCAACAACATCAAAATGTTGCAAAAGAAAAAAAAAATAAAAAGCCAGAGTTTTCATAGCACCTCAGGAATTAGCTGCTGAAAGCTGAAATGTGTCCAGAGAAATTAAGCTCTAATGTGATAAAAAAAAAAAGCTTGTGTTTCTACAGAACCATCAAAGCTGATGTTTATATAGAACATGTGCTTGAAGTTAGAATAACGGTTGGTTGCACAGCACCCTAAAACAAAGCTGCAACTCCCCCCCACCCCCCCCAGGAAATAATTTTAGTTTTCAGTCTAGTTGGCTCATTGGATCTTGTTCTCATGCTCAGTCTTCTGCTTATTGCCTAAGATTTGGCCTTTTTATCTGGTTTGGTGTGTGAAGTGTTGACCATAAACGAGAGGAACTCAGCTTCAGACTCCTAATCAGTTGGAAAACTTAGTTCAGTCTAATTTCTGTCACAGGGACATGGCAAAAAAAAATTAGAGTTTGGATTACTGTGTATTTTTTTTCCTATGATTTTATTATATGTATTGGTTTCATCTTTTAATATTGTAAGCCACCTAGAATCCAGTGCAGTGTTTCTCAACCTTGGTAAATTTAAGGTGGGTGGACTTCATCTCCCAGAATTCCTCCGTCAGCAAGCTGGCTGGAGAATTCTGGGAGTTGAAGTCCACACATCTTAAAGTTGCTGAGGATGAGAAACACTGACCCACTGGGTAGACTGTGACAAAGAAATAATAAAGAAATATATGCAACCTTGACAAGGAAGGAAGGAGGGAGGGAGAGAGAGAGAGAGAGAGAAAGAATATTTGTGCCTGCAAATCATTCTTGACTCCTGGCGACCGCTTGGACAAATTCCCTGCTGTTTTCTTGGCAACATCTTCAGAACTGGTTTGGCCTTGATTCTTCCTAAGGCTGAGAAAGAAGGACTGGCCTAAAGTCACCCAGCTGGTTTTCTTGTTTAAGGCAGGACTAAAACTCACAGCCTCCCAGTTTCTAGCCCAGTGCCTTTAACCACTACACCAAACTGACCCTCCCTGGAAGAAAGGCAGAATATAAATCAGATAAATAATTCTTGAAGGTAAGAATCTTGGTTGTCAGCTAGATGAAATGACACTTGCTGTAATCATTATTGGATGTTATTCTTTGCTTCTTGTTAACAATCAAGCTTGATTTCCCACCCCATCCCACCCCACACCCCACCCCATTTTGTCATTTATATATGATACACATAGAAGAACTCAAGTAAATTTGGTTATGTCTTATTTTACTTAATTTTTAAAAAACTATCCTGTATAAAAAATTGGTTGGTTGGAGGAGGAGGAGGAGGGGAGGGAAGGGCAGGCTGGGCAAAAAAACAAAAACAGAAAAACAAAACAAATCAATATGCTTCTGAAAATAATTGAGAAGTTGGCACCAGTCACACCAGTAATGGGATGGCTAATTTGTAACAAAGCATTATAAAATTGAAAAGTGTTTTCCTGGTTTGCATATAATGGCTAAATTTGCCAGCCACATTAGACTAGCCAAAAATAGGGTTGGATAATTGTGATTTGTGTGTTGCGAAAACCTTGTATCAACCAGGCCATCTTGCTAAGCCATAATATGATGTACTTATCTGCATGTTGCATAAATACAGCGTGTTATGCTAACCTGGATTTATGGTTTAATGTATTGTGAGGACTGAGAAAATGAATAAAAAGTACTGTAGGATGAGTTGTCTGTTCAGAATTTAAGAGAAAGGCAGGCTGATAAAGGGAGAAATATTTTTCAGGTGTGTGGTTCCTAAGCTGTTTAAGCTGCATCACCTTGCAATAGTCCCAGAAGCTAAATAAATTGAGGCAGTTGTCTTAGCATGCCATAGTGGGATCCCATCTGACTGTTACCTTGGTTAACACCTAACGGCCACTTTCTGCATTCCTCTGGAGTGCAGTCTCCCATTGTGGCATGGCAGATGGAGTGGCTTGTCCCAAGGACCTTAAAACTCAGGCCCAGTTTCTGTGGGAGAACGTGCTTAAATTACTCTTTGATATGAAGACTTTGTTGAGTTACCATAGCAAACGAATACTCATGGTATGGGTCCAGGTTATTGAGGGACTGTCCCCAATTTCATCTGCCCATCCTACCAGATCTGGCAGAGAGGGCATGTTACGGGTTCTGACACCTAGGGAGCAACATTTGGCGGGCCCATAGGTCTCCCTTTGGAAATTATGTAAAAATACTCCATGGCTCCAACACTTCCCCATCCAACTCTTCTGATCCTGCTTGTGGTGGTGAGGTGAGGACGACTCTGGTTTTGCTCCAGGACAGTGGCACTGTTGCATGTCTGTGTTCTGCCCAGTGTGTGACTGAAGTGGGCAAGATCCAAATGTTGTGAAAGGGAAAAAAACAAAACAAAACAAAAAAAGTTATATAGATTTAGGCTGTATTGGATTTCTGGAATAAGAGAGCTTCACACTTAGTAATCTTACATCTCAACATGTTCTTAGTTCAGTCTTAACTGCCAGAGAGTACCATTACAAGTCACTTTATGCTAAATTTACATGTTTTGTTAAAACAGAAAAAGGATCTGAAAAAAATCTCATGTATTGTGATTATAATTTTTTTCCTCCTATACTTAAAGTGAAATAGAAGTGGTGTTCAGAAATAAAGAACATTGACACGATTGAATAATGGATAAAAATGCAGGTTTTCTTGGAAAATCATCTTATTTATGACTTTCACCCTGAGCAGCATGCTCAATGTTGCACGTATTTGTGGATCTTTAGACAATTTGGACTATTTCTGCAAAAGGAGGATAACTTCCATACCTACAGTAGAAAGAATTCCAGAGGAAGTTTGAAGATCATTCCTTGATTATTATGCTCCTTCATTTTAATGCAGAATAGCACATCCTATCATAATATCGACACTTTCTCATTTCTGAATAGTTTTCATGTCTTAAAAGTTTAGCAGATTATTACAAAAGGAAATACCTTTTCTTAGAGGATAGAAAGTTGTACACATTAATCATATTTTAAGCGTTACCTTATTTTTAGTAAAACTCAAACAAAAAAAAGTTCTAGGAAAGGTATGTGTAGTATTAAGTCTCCAATGTGATCAGCTCCCTTAGTTTTTTAAAAGACTGAAAAACTGACATATTGCAAAGCAGTCAGCCAATCTCCAGCATTTTTTAATATTCAAGAATGTCTTTGATCCTGATCTTTAAAACCCCCAATGTTTTATATGTGAAGCATGCCCAAAAATGTTTGGGTGTTATGTGATAAGTATTAGCCGAGTCTTTGTAATTGATTTCATCTTTGTATGTACAGAGACGAATATCCTATTAGTGCCTCAGATCCTTCTTTTGGCTTCAGGAATTTGTTTCAGAGCTTCCTCCAGTTGCTTCTTGTGAATGAGTGTTGGAACAAAAAAGTAGGTTTGAAAAAGTAGATTTATCTTTTGTAAACTCAGACCATGCTTCAGTCTTCTGTTTGATTTGGGGGCAAATCAATTTATTTTAAACCTTACCAGCTTGCCTGTCAGGACCTAAGTATATTGTTTTCCATTGTAGTAGTACTTTTATGGGATGCCTACAATGGTCCTGAGATTCTTTATTGGCCTGATTTGATACGATTATGTGCCATCAGTTTGGTGTCCACTCTTAGCCACCACATAGATAGATTTTCTCCAGG